GGTCACGACCCACCAGTTGAGAGCCAAAGGTCTAGAAGGTTCTAACTTAAAATGCAAGGTCCACTTATGAGGCTCCCCCTGCTGTCAAAATGTGGCATTGAGGGAATTAAAAAAATACTTTGTAGAAAAATCAGAAAAATATATTTACCTTACTCCCAGGCTGCTGGTGCGCTTTCCTAGGTATTTTGACAATCAGTCTTCCTGCAGGCTCCTGGGAAAGATAGGGATCCCAAATGCCATGAGAACATGCACCTGTACAGTGCTGTAGTGTTCTTTCGTGAGACTCGGGATCCTGAGCTTTCCCAACAACCCTCTGTAAGGTCCATTAACGTCGGTGGCAGGAAGTCTCCAGGACCCGGAAGTAAGGTGAATATTTTTAATGCATTTTATTTCAATGTGTGTGTTTTTTTATTTTAGTAATGCAGTGTTTTGTCAACAGGGAGTGAAAACAGCCACATATGCAGACATTGCATTTAAGTGTAGCAGATCAATCTTAATTTTGCAAGAAAATAAATAGCCCTTTAAAAGTATCATATCAAAAAATGAAACTCCATTTTCTGGAAATACCTGCAGTTTGACTGCAAGCACTTTGCAAACTTTACAAAAACAGTGTAAAATGTTTCATGCAGCAAATATATGTATAATTAAATTGTTTATAGGTAAAGTAGCAATTTACTTTAGAAATCTGTTCCAAACTTCTTAGACAAGATTTAAAGTAAACAAGAGAAGATAATGAGCTGAAATATGACAGCAGTAAAAATTCACTTTGCAAAGTATACCCAATTTAAAAAACAGGATTTATGCTTGCACATTATTGTGAGATTGAAGTCAGCAGAGCTTTGCAGGTGATGAACCTATACTACTTTAGTGAATCATCCCCATGGTGACCCTTTGCATTATGAATGTGTGGTACCAGATAAAAACTGCTTGAGCAGTTCCATGTTAAGGTCAACTGCCAATATGGTTAATTCTCAAAGATAACATAGATAAGGATACTTATGTATTGATTATATAAAGGAATAGTTATTTTAGTCAAGTGTAATGAGATTTGAAAATTACAGTCACATGGCTACCTGTGAGCTCCTTATCCTTGTGTTAATACTTTGTGAATTTAGCCTTATGTCTTTTATCCTCCACCTTTTGGTATTAGCTTCTCACAAAGATCCTGTTGGTCCTATTTTGTTGTGATAATCACTTGGGTTTTCAAGATTCCACCTTTATAACATCCAGGAGGGACAGGGACCCATGTAGGAAGAAGGATGGTGGTGGGTTCTGTGCTGATGTAGACATTATTTGCTATGAACCAAATCAAGAAAGACCTCCACCCTCTTCTCTATCCCACAAGGATGTTATAGGACAAGAGCTGAGTTAAATGGTGTGTGTGGAGGGAATTTAGGTTTAAGATATTATAGAGTAGATGGTTCCAATGAATTTGCTGGGTCTATTGTGACCCTGCATTCCAGCTTCAGACTGCAATTGCCCTCAAATATATTTTTGTACAACTGTACAATGACTATTTGCAATTCATGTATAATATAAAGTATCCAAGAAAGAAAGGTATCCATGGTACAAATAACGTAAGATCTTAAATGAAAACACATAATAGAATGCCAGGTTAAAGCAAATTGAATTAATTTTTATAAGGGTCTTGCCCTTACTTTAAAATACGTAGGGGTCCTTAGAATGCAAAGTGTTTTACAATACCGGTAATGTTAAAGTTGAACAGAACGATTGTAAAGATGGGATAAGTGACAAATTGGTAGAACCTCTAGCTGTGTCTTTAGAATGTTCTAAGTATGTGCACTTTCTGTAGACACAGCAATATCTACAGCTCATTCATGTAACTATCAAAATATTATAGGGCAGCACAGGCAATTTGTTTAGTTTTTGAATGTGTTGACAATTTTACTCTTCTGACATACAATATCAAACGTGATATACCATTGCTGTTTTACTTTTTATACATGAAAAGAGAACAGAACTATAGACAAAACATATGAGTCAATAATAAACATGCAGTTTAAATATAGTAGTTATTCAAAGTATATTTACAGCCCGAACATATTTTTGTAATTTAGGGTTAAAACCATTGTCATATATTTTTTTGAAATCTATGGGGTTGATTTACTAAAGGAAAACAGGCTGTTCCCTTTACAAGGGAATTTTCTCTTAACTTAGTGAATGAGGTAAGGCTCTCCTGACTTCCACCATTCAATCATGTGTAAACAAAAATTGTTTCTTGTTTAGTTTTTTCCCCTAAATGTGATTGGGTTTCCTTTACAAAGTAAATGTTCACCTTATTCACTATGCTAAGGGAAAATTCCCATGCAAAGTGAACAGCCTATTTATCGTTAGTAAATCAACCCCCATGTCTCATTAGAGAGATTTCACTTCACTTCCTGCCCCGTAGACTCAACAGAAAGTGAGGGCATACCTTTCCAATGTAAGGAAATTCCTCTCTTAGACATGTGTCATGGGAACATGTGTCCTCATGTCTTCTTCTTTTCTGCTTTGAACTAAAAATTTTGCATTTACCATCACTTTCATTACATTGGTGATCACGGAAATTATAGAAAGGGAATCTTCCTAACAGGGACACGTACAGCAAGAAAAACCTGACAGCGGTTCCAACCCCTCACCAGTCTATCCAAATCGCCAAAAAGTTTTGCCCTAAATTTCTTAATAATATGGGGCTAATGGCCAGCCTGCTTGTTGTTTGTAGTGTCTCTCTATCCAACATTGGGCCCTCTCCCTATCTAGGCATCTTTGATGCATTTGGTGTATTTACTCTTATATTGGAGCATCCCCCCATCTCCAGTCCCCCTTACCGTCATATACTCATCTGTCCCGTATTCAACCGGGCCCATACATGCACTCTGAAATCCCATTCTTTCCTGGGGACTTTCAGGTATGAGATTGTACTCAGATCTAAGCAGTGATACCTTGTTGGATTAGGGATGGGTAAGTATAAGACTAAGAGAGGGGCTGAATGGGGGGCTGGGGGCAGTGGTGATCTACACTTTAACTGTAAACCTTCACATGTCAAATGATGTGCTTAATACCTCTACAGCATAAGCATTTAGCAGTTAACAATTATAAAAATGTACGTACCTTGATTTGTCAGTTTACAGTTTACTTTACAGTTTACTTTGTCAGTTTACTGGACCCCACTCTGTGGGGTCTATGGTGGGCTCTGCAGGGTCTCAGGAGGGCTGTGCAGGATCTGTGGTGGGCTGTGAAGGATCTCTGGTTGGCACTGCAGGTCTTGGGGGGCTGTGTAGAATCTGTGGTGGGCTCTGCAGTTGCAGAGCCCACTACAGATCCTGCACAGCAACCCTAAAACCATGTGGAGCCCACCATAGACCCCACAGAGCCCACCATAGACCCTGCAGAGCCCACCATAGATACTGCAGAGCCCCCCTGAGACCCTGCGGAGCCCACCATAGCCCCACCACAGATCCTGCAGAGCCCACCTGAGACTTTCAGGTGGGCTGTGCAGAATCTATGCTGGGCTCTGCAGGGTCCCTTTAACAGCAGTGTGATCCACTTACCCATTTATTTTTTTGTATCCTTAATTTTAGTTAAATAAACTAAACTAAAGTTAAATAAACTAAAATGAAAAATACAAAAAAAGTTAAATAAAAAAGTAAAAATGCAAAAAAATGAAAAAGTTAAATAAACTAAAATGAAAAATACAAAAAAATTGTTAAAAAAACTAAAATTTCTTTTTTTTAAAGTTTAAAAAAAGTTTAAATAAAAATGAAAAAAATTTTAATAAATTTTTTTGCATCTTTACTTTTTATTTAAACTTTAAAAAAATTTTGCTTTATTTTTTTAACTATTTTTTTAAACGTTTTACATTTTTTGTATTTTTCATTTTAGTTTATTTATCTTTATTTTTTTGCATTTTTACTTTTTATTTATTTAATGTTTTTATTTTTTGTATTTTTAATTTGAGTTTATTTAACTTTATTTTTTTTTACTTTTTTTATTCTTTTGTATTTTTAATTTTTGTTTATTTAACTTTATTTTTTAATTTTTTTAAACTTTATTGCTGGGAGCAATAGCCAGCCTGCTATTGGATATTTCAAATTGCAATAGCCAATAACAGATTGGCTATTGGCCTGCTGTTAATCAGCGGAGGAGGGACCTGAAGGAGAAAGTTCTCCATCAGCTCCTCTTCTGTTGATTGATAGCAGGCAGTGGGCGGGTGCAATAGCCAGCCTTTTATTGGCTACTGCAATTTAAAAGAGCCAATAACAGGCTGACTATTGCTGCCAGCTGCTGTAATGGGGACGATCGCGGCTGTCAGCAGGAGCAGGAGGGGTGAGTAGACGGCAAGGGGGAAGGAAACTCTCAGACTGTCAGAGATTTCGTCTTACAATCTGTAATTGGCTGCCTGTCCCCTCTAACACAGATTACTGCAGCCAATTACAGACTGTAGAGAGAAACCGCTGACAGTCTGTGAGTCTGCAGTGGAGAGAGTTATGTGCGGGGACTGTACTAGCATTTCTCCGCCCCCCCCCCCCCAAGGCGGTTTTTGGGGGGCTACGG